TATAATTTTAGAGCTAAGTTAATTGGCTAAGCGTATTGTCGAAAATTTAATATTTAGTACCATATGTTGTGTCCGTGAATGCACGTGTTGTAAATATAATGTCGGCAACAAGAGCGATTGGCACGATTCCAGGTATGAAAGCCGAAACATATGCTTTCAAGAGAGACCAAATGTTACATGAATTTTGGCATCCACTGCACACCTAAATGAAAATAAAATGAAATCAAAATATAGTAGATGTATTTTCATCCTAAAGATCTAATATAGTATGCCTATGCCTCATTTAACCTGTAAAATAATACAATTGCCTTAAACTGCATATTTTTACAAAAGCGCTAACTGAACATTAGTGTTTAAAAAAGCACATGTAATCTACGGACAAAGCAACTCCAGGATGTGCCGATTCTGTTCTTTCACGAAAGAAATACCTCTGCATATCCTAACTGATTGTGGACCCTTGTGCGCAAACGTAACCCTCCTCTGGAGAACTACGTACTTAGTCCAGAAGAAGTAAAATTGCTCACAGCAAGCAACTTCTTCAATGTGTTCTAGTGAACTATAGCCATAGCAGCGATCACAAATGTTACAGGTCGAAGTGATACTGGTCTTATTAGACCTGCATAGCTGTGCACATCTTTTTATTAATTTGTGTGAGCAAATGCCTCATTACCAGTCAAATATGTCTCCAGTTTTTGTCATTCATCACAAAACGTGGCTTAGAATAAGACTTCCTTGTCATGTTTATATATATTTATTTTGTTTGAATACTGCTGTGTTCCGTATTGTGAGTTGTGGCTTTCCAAATTAGTTCTCAGATGTAACAACGCATCTGGATTTTGATTTTTAATCAAGGATAGATGTAGATGTATATGGGCTAGAGCATCCACTTACCATTGGACTGTGTGATCGTTTGTCACCCATAGAAAAAACATAACAGCTAGGTAGTAGTGGTAGTTAAGGTTAAAGTGTATGTACGTCCCACCGCTGAATACAGTTCTCCTGTTTCTGGAAGTATATAGGAGCAACAAAGTGTACTCCACGTTACCCCAATGTGTTGGCGGACTCTGCATGTCTTCAAAGTACTTATAATTTTCAAAGTACTTAAAATTCCGCTCAAAAACATAACTGCTCGGGGCAAACTAAGCAAGATAAACATATAAGATAACACCAAGGCGACCCCTGCCACGCTATTCGTGAATTTCTGCAACATCAGGGGACTTCACTCTAACCTAAACGCCGTCCACTACCATCTCGAGACGGCGAAGCCGGCCTTGCTCTTTCTGACCGAGTCGCAGGTTTCCTCTCCGGCTGATATTTCGTATCTCTCCTACCCGGGATACAAATTGGAGCATTCCTCTGTGCCTCGGGCTGGAGTTTGCGTGTATGTCAGAAGGGACATCTGTTCTCGACGCCTCGGCAGTCTTGAAGGTTCGGACCTGTCCATATTTTGGCTACGAGTAGACAGCGACGACCATCCGCGCGTTTACGGGTGCCTCTATAGGTCCCATAGCGGTAATGGCGAAACAGACCGACTCATCGACCACGTCCAAATGGCTACAGATTCCTTGCTACAACAGCTCCCATCCTCAGAGATCGTGATTCTTGGCGATTTTAACGCCCACCACGCCGAATGGCTCGGTTCACGTTTAACCGATCATGCGGGGAGATCTGTTTATGACTGTGCTTTGGCATATAGTCTGACACAACTATTTACATCGCCTACGCGGATTCGAGATGTTGAGGATCATACACCTTCCCTGTTGGACCTTCTGCTGACCTCTCATCCAGACTGATATCAGGTTTCCGTCGATGCCCCTCTTGGCTCTTCGGGCCATTGCCTGATCCGGAGTGTGGTGCCACTCACGCTCCCCTCGCGGTTGCGTTCTGCATGTTGCCGCCGTGTTTGGCATTACAGGTCGGCGGATTGGGACGGAATGCGGTCTTTCTTTGCTTCCTTCCCATGGGGGCGGATTTGCTTCTCGCCTGATGATCCCAGCACTGTTGCTGACTCTGTCACTGATGTGGTGCTACAGGGAATGGAACTATTTATTCCATCATCTGTGGTACCCATCGGAGGCAGATCTCAGCCTTGGTTTGGTCGCTCCTGTAAGACTGCATTACGCAGTAAGCAGGAGTGTTATCAAGCCTGGGCTGCGGCTTCGGCGACTCGGGATGTAAACACCAGCACACTTAAAAAGAAGTATAACTTCGCCTCCAGGTCCTTCAAAAGAGTTATTGCCAAGGCAAAGTCAGAGCACATAGGCAGAATTGGCGAGAAACTAGTTCGCTTTCCTTCGGGAACCCGTGAATTCTGGTCGCTCGCCAAGGCTGTCCAAGGGAATTTCTGTAAGCCATCACTACTATCTCTGCACAGGGAGGACGACTCACTGGCCCACGACGTAAAAGAGAAAGACGACCTTTTAGGCTTCCCTTTTGCGTCCAACTTGACTGTTGATGACGGGGGGAACACACCAGCGACCATCCCGCGGTGTGAGTGCTCCATGCCGGATGTGCGGTTCTCACAGCGCTCGGTTCGCAGAGCACTCCTCTCCCTTAACATACACAAGTCGAGTGGGCCTGACGGAATCCTCCTAATTGTGCCGAGGACGTGTGTTCCGGTTTCAGCACCGGTTCTAACGCGTCTATTCTGGTATTCCTACTCCCTAGGCGTAGTCCCGAAATCATGGAAGACAGCTTTTGTCCACCCGATCCCTAAAAGAGGCGACTGCTCAGACCCGTCCAACTACAGGCCTATCGCCATCACCCCCTTGTTCTCCAAAATAATAGAATCCGTTATAAACTGCCACCTCATGCGGTACCTTGAGGATCACTAGCTAATTAGTGACCGCCAGTACGGTTATCGTCGGGGTCGATCATAAATGGGCGGAGGCAGTAGAGTCCAAGGGGGAGGCATTGGCCGTTAGTTTGGACATTGCGAAGGCCTTCGATCGGGTTTGGCACAAAGCGCTTCTTTCGAAGCTCCCTTCCTATGGGCTTCCCGAGAAATTATGCAATTGGATCACCAGCTTTCTTGCAGATCGGAGCATCAAGGTCGTTGTAGACGGTGCATGCTCCGACTACAAGCCTATTAACGTTGGTGTTCCACAAGGCTGCGTGCTATAACCAACGCTGTTTCTTCTGAATATCAATGATATGTTGCAAGCCGGTAGCATTTATTGCTATGCGGACGACAGCACTCGTGATGCTCTATACACCGGCCGTGCCAATATTTCTAGGAAAACGTCACCAAGTACCGGAACAAACTTGTGTTTGAATTCGAGTCTTTGCTGGACAAAGTCTCGGATTGGGGGCGACTAAATCTAGTCCAGTTTAATCCTCAGAAGACACAAGTTTGCGCGTTTACCGCTAAAAAGAACCACTTTGTCGTATCTCCTTAGTTTCAAGGCACTCCCCTTGCTGCTTCAGCCAGTATCGGAATCCTCGGCGTCGACATATCGAATGACGTGCAGTTTCGTGGTCACTTGGAAGAAAAGGCCAAATTGGCCTCTAAAAAGCTTGGCGTGCTCAGCAGAGCGGGACAGTATTTCATGCCGGCTCAACGCCTGCAGCTTTACAAGGCGCAGGTTCGGCCTCAAATGGAATACTGTTCCCATCTCTGGGCTGGGGCTCCCCAGTGCCAGCTCCTTCCACTTGACCGCATCCAGCGCAGAGCGGTTTGAATCGTCGACGACCGAGTCCTTTCCGATCGGCTCGACTCATTGGCGCTGCGAAGAGATGTTGCATCTCTTTGCATTTTCTTTCGCATTTACCACGGTGAGTGCTCTAAGGAATTGTTCGGATTAATTCCACCTGCCAAATTTCACGAACGCACATCGCGGCAGAACTCCCGATACCATCCACACCATTTGGATGATTGGCGGTCCACCACTGTGCGATTTAGAAGATGTTTTCTTCCTCGCACAACTTTCGTGTGGAATAGTTTACCACCAGCGATTTTTCCGGACCGATACGACTTAGGGACCTTCAAGAAAAGAGCCTACTCCTTTTTAAAAGGCCGGCAACGCATCTGCAATTCCCCTGATGTTGCAGTTGTTCGTGGGCGGCGGTAGTCACTTACCATCAGGTGAGCCGCATGCTCGTTTGCCCCCTCTCCTATAAAAAAAGAATAATTAGGCAGTAAATTAAAGAGGGAAAAGATTCTTATTGCGTGATCTTGATGCGTTCGAATACAATTAATCATACAGACATGTCCTCATTTGGGATCGTTTCGCCCGCGTAGGCTTTTAAAGCTTTTCTTGTCTGTTGCATTTCATCATTATTTATACAAATTTTAAGAATAATTTTGAAAGAATAAATTTAATTCCCTTATTTTTCTATACTGTTTTATACAAATGGATTTGAGGCTCTGACACTGTGAAACTATAATTCTTTTATGGAATTTGGGTGACAAATGAGTACACAGTCCACCAAATTTTAAGAAGACACAAACTCTTCTAAACAATCTTAGAATTAAGGATTTTTTTTTATTATTGTACAATGCGAGGTGGTTTATAATTCAATAACGGTATTTTCTCTGCTTCGTGCATCTTCGCAGAACGAAGTAAGCATGCGACATTCATTAGACAAAAAATTACTTTATTTGAAATGTTCTTGGCTTAATATCAGGAAACAAAAATTTCTCAATATTTGCCTTAATATTCACGCATGCCAAGCGGATTGTCTCGCACCAACATCAAAGATACCGCTTACACCTTTGACGCTGCAACTCGCCGCTGCTCTTACCCTCATATACCGTTTACCACATTTCCCAAAGTCTTTTTTATGACACCCGCGGACCAGAATTATCTGTTCAATTCTCTTACATACGCCACAACTTGCCAAATGTTATACCCTTCATTCTTATATCAAAATTTGCTAGAAGCAAGATAATAGACCTGATGCTAAGTAGCTATTAGCAATGCTAACTGACCTGCAATGCTACTTCAAACGGAGCACCATACACGATGTCACTTACCCTCTTATTTTACCGGCACTCTTACCTTCTAAACCAACATAAAGGATTGAAGTACTGCTTAGCGGCAGATATAAACTGAGGGTAGTACCAACTTCCATGAAATCCTAGAAAGAATAAGGCCTCTACCATGTGGTTAGTGGTCATTGAAAGTCGAATAAGCATTATTTGAAAAATATTGCCGTGTAGTGGCGGTCAAGAATATCCACTACCCCATATCCTCCCGTGGGTGTCGTAAAAGGCGACAAAGGGAAACAGGCAGGAGATGGGCAGCAGCATCTTCCTGATAATAGCCAAATTACAATAAAAAAACTGCGGTTGCCAACCCGCTCGCCAAGCGTGGCAACTATGGCAAATACCCCCCTATGAATGACAGTAACAAAGAAACGGCCCCCAGTCCCCGGCGGCCCCGCTATTCCTGGCTACGGTGGCGACCATGGTAACGGCGGGGCAGGGGGTGCTAAGAATCTCCGGTGGAGGTTCGGTTGCCACCTTAGACGACTCGACCTGGCAACGTACAACGCACGCACCCTGAGGACTGACGAGAAGATCGTGGAGCTGGAAGAAGAGATAGACAAGTTGCGCTGGCATATTATAGGATTATCCGAAGTCCGAAGAGAGGGGGAGGACACGGTAATCCTCGAATCCGGCAACTTGCTCTATCACCGGGAGGGCGACCATCTGTCCCAAGGAGGTGTCGTATTTATCGTCCACAAGTCTCTCGTTAACAACGTTGTAAAGATCGGGAGTGTGTCGACGAGGGTTGCGTACCTTATACTCAGAATCACCAAACGGTATTCGCTGAAGGTCATACAGGTTTACGCACCAACTTCGGCACACCCCGATGAGGAGGTGGAGGAAATGTATGAGGATATCTCTAGAGCCATGCATTCCTCCAAAACCCAATATACGGTGTTAATGGGAGACTTCAATGCAAAACTAGGCACAAGAGAGAACGGTGAGCTGAAAGTAGGGAAATTTGGAATAGGGCAACGGAACCCAAGGGACCAGCAGCTGGCCGACTTCATGGAGAAAGAGGGACTCTTTATGATGAACTCTTTCTTCCAGAAGCGGCCCCACAGGAAGTGGACCTGGTCGAGCCCCGACGGTTCCACAAAAAATGAGATTGACTTCATTATGACGACCAGACGACAACTGTTCAGTGATGTCTCCGTGATCGCGAGGGTGAAAACTGGTAGCGATCACCGAATGGTTAGAGGCACACTGAACCTAAACGTTAAGTTGGAGAGGTCTCGTCTAATGAAGTCAACGCTCCGTCCCCCTCGTGCTCTGTTCCAAAGTCCCGAAACCTTTCAGCTCGAGTTACAAAACCGTTTTCAGTGCCTGGAAGACTGCAATGAAGTGGACGATATGAATGACAAGCTCGTGGAAACTGTCCATGCGGTCGGAGATAAGTTCTGCAAGACCCGCCGCAGAAGAACACAAAAACTCTCCGATCACACTCTTAATCTCATGGCTGTTAGACGGGAGATGAAGCTACATTCTTCAACAGACTTGACAGCATACAGGCATCTGAACAGACAGATCTCCAAATGCATGCGGCGGGACTTACGCAACTTCAATACAGCTCGTATTGAAGAAGCGATCGAGCGGAACCAAGGCTCCAAAGTCTTTGCCAGAGATCTGTCTGCCAGAAAGAGCCAACTGTCAAAGCTGAAGACAGAATGTGGCAGCATCGTTTCCGGGACACCTGAGATTTTGAGTGAGATTGAGAGGTTCTATGGGCAGCTGTACACATCATCGTTGGAGCCACACGCAAGTGTGAGTAACGATCCAAGAGCGAGTCTCATCCGACACTATTCCGAAGATATCCCGGATGTCAGTCTGAGCGAGATTAAAATGGCTCTCCAGCACCTTAAAAACGGTAAGGCCCCAGGCGAGGATGGAATTACAGCGGAGCTTCTGAAAGCGGGTGGAAGACCGGTACTTGAAGTCCTTCAGAAGCTCTTTAATTCTGTCCTCCATGGTGGCATTACACCGGAGGCGTGGAGCAGAAGTGCGGTGGTCTTGTTCTTCAAGAAAGGTGACAACGCTCTCTTGAAGAACTACAGACCGATTTCCCTTCTGAGCCGCGTCTACGTGCTGTTTTCGAGAGTCATTACGAATCGTCTCGCGCGCAGACTTGACGACTTCCAGCCTCCCGAACAAGCCGGTTTCCGAAAGGGCTTTAGCACCATAGACCACATACATACCCTTCGGCAAGTTGTACAGAAGTCCGAAGAGTACAATTTGCCACTATGTCTGGCGTATGTGGACTATGAGAAAGCCTTTGATTCCGTCGAAATTTGGGCGGTGCTGCAGTCCCTTCAGCGGTGCCAAGTTGACTGTCGGTATATCGAAGTGTTGAAGTGCTTGTACAGTAGGGCTACGATGGCTATCCGAGTACAGAACCAGAATACGAAACCTATCCAATTGCAGAGAGGTGTAAGACAGGGTGACGTCATATCCCCGAAACTCTTCACCGCTGCATTGGAAGACGTTTTCAAGCTTCTGGACTGGAAAGGATACGGTATCAACATCAATGGCGAGTACATCACTCACCTTCGATTTGCCGACGATATAGTCCTTATGGCAGAATCGCTGGAGGACCTAAGCGCTATGCTCAATGACCTCAATAGTGTTTCCCAACGGATAGGTCTTAAGATGAACATGGACAAAACAAAGATCATGTTTAATGTCCATGTCACACCTATGCCGGTAGTTGTTGGGAGCACTAAGCTCGAAGTTGTTGACGAGTATGTTTACCTGGGACAAATAGTCCGACTAGGTAAGTCCAACTTCGACCGAGAGGTCAATCGACGGATTCAACTCGGCTGGGCAGCGTTCGGGAAGCTACGACACATCTTCTCGTCAGACATACCTCAAAACCTTAAAACGAAATTGTACAACCAGTGCGTGTTGCCAGTGATGACTTACGGAACTGAGACGTGGTCCTTCACTGCTGGCCGTATGAGGAAGCTCAAGGTCGCTCAGCGAGCTATGGAGAGGGCTATGCTCGGAGTTTCTCTGCGTGATAAACTTAGGAATGAGGATATCCGCAGTAGAACCAGAGTGACCGACATAGCCCAACGGATTAGTAAGCTGAAGTGGCAGTGGGCCGGCCATATAGCTCGAAGAACCGACAACCGATGGGGAAGAAAGGTTCTCGAGTGGCAGCCTCGTACCGGTAGGCGAAGTGTAGGGCGTCCCCCCACGAGATGGAGTGACGACCTGGTAAGACATGCAGGAAGTCGATGGATGCAGGTGGCTCAGGACCGTGCTTTGTGGCATTCTTTGGGGGAGGCCTATGTTCAGCAGTGGACTTGTGAAGGGCTGTAATGATGATGATGATGATGATGAAAAATATGACCATCATTTTTGTTAGGTTGTAGAGCCATAATGCAGCTGTATTATGATTGTAGCACCAATGGGTCGACTAGACCAGGAAAGGACCACGCTCTCACAGAATACCAGCGTTAAAGAGGAATGCTGCTGTCTTCCATATAGTAAGTGTAGAGACACATAGTCCCTTTTTACTGAAAACGAGACACTCCATTTTTTTAATTTAATTGTGTAGTGTTCGCGTAAATATAAGAAATCATTACGAGACATTTCATCACAGTCTTTAGGGAAGAAAACGTATCTGCACTTTCATAATTAATTAAGCGTAGATGTTGATATCTATGGGCTACATCATCAACTTACTATACAGTTGACAAAAGAAAAGTGATAAATGTCACCGTTTTAGCAAAGTGGTAAAGAATAGTGACGATAATACTTCATCTTAGCATTCCATCTTAGTCCTCACGGGTGACAACGCATCTGCATTTTGAGGATAGATGTAGATGTCTATGGGCCACAGCAAACACTTACCATCAGATGGACTATGTGCTCGTTTGTCAACCTTATCCTATAAAAAAAAAGTCCTTTCAATGTCAACAATTTTTCCGTGTCTACGTTTATCATCAGCGGTTCCAAACCTTTAACATAGACTTCCCCAAAGTAATTCCGAAAATCATGGTCCTGAGCCACCTGCATCTATCAACATCCTGTGTGATTTATCAAGTCTTTACTCCATTTAATGGTGGACCACCCTACAATTTGCTTACCTGTATGAGGTCATCATTCGAGAACATTCTTTTTGGTTCTTTGAGCTATATGACGGCCTGTTAGTACTTCAATAAAACTTCAATTCCCACCGATTTCAAGTTCAAGTAAGCTTGTCCTGCGTAGATCGAACCAAATATTAATATTCAAAAACTGAAGGTAGCCAGCTTAACTATTCCATCAAAACTTCAAACATCTTAGTTCACCCCGTGACTATGGGTGCTGTAAAGCACCCGAAACGATGGGAATTAAAATGCGCGGCGGTGTCACTCGGTCACGATTAGGTAAATGGTAGGTCCATTTACAACAACTATAGACTTCAGATCGTTGGCCCTTCCTGTGTTGAACATCTTGTAGAGAAATCTAGAGTTTTCAGCGAAAGCCAGAGGCTTGCTTAGAGAATGCGCTTAAGGCAAGTATAATTGGATTTACCAATAGTTTTTTATTCTACATATTTAATATATTATTTTCATTTTAACATGAAGCGCAACTAATTAAATTAATTAAATTTTTACCATGATTAAAATTCTAAAAACTGGTGACCAAATAAACTAAAAAAAACAATTTAGAAAAATTAATTGCAAAAAATAAAGATAATATATAAACATGAAACAAGTCTTCAACCAGTGTATATTGCCAGTAATGATATATGGATCTTAGACGTGGTATTTCACTACTAGCCGTATGAGGAATTGAATATCACTCACCAAACTTTTTACAGGGCTATGCTCAGAGTTTCTCTGAGTCTCGCTACTTGGCTAGCCTGCGATTAATTGCCAGCATGATGTGGCTGTTTCAAGTGGACTTAGAGAGCCCACTTCTGACGTGTGATGGTGTACTGTGGTCAAAGGGTTGTCCTCTCCCCTACATTACAACTACCAGGTTATTTATTTGTCACCTCAATAGTATCATAAATACAACTTTATTTAATTTAATATCTCTTTCTAATCTACTGGATATAGTTAAGAAAATTTTAGTCAAAATGTAAGTGTCG